GGCGGGGGCGACGGGCCGGGCGGTGACGGCGACGACGGGTGGTGGGGGCGACGGCGGTGACGACGGCGACGGGTGGCATGGGCGACGGTGGTGACGGCGACGACGGGCGGCGGGGGCGGCGAGGGCGGCGCGCGATGAGGCGACGGGTGCGGCGAAGAAGTTTGGATCGAGAAGAACTACTGGTGGGCGAAACTAATTTTTTCGTAGGTTCCACATATATAGGAGGGGTCTTTAGTGCCGGTTGGAGCCACCAACCGGTACTAAAGGCCAATTTTCGCCAGGCCAAGGGGCGGGAAACGTCCCCTGTAGTACCAGTTCGTGCCACGAACCGATACTAAAGACCCCCCCTTTAGTACCGGTTGGAGCCACCAACCGGTACTAAAGGTTGTGCGCTGCCACCGGCGGTGCACAATGTTTAGTCCCATCTCGTCGAGCGAAGGGCAGCCGCACTGGTTTATAAACCCAGCCGCGGCTGCTCCTTCGAGCTTCTTTATATAGCAGGCTTCTGGGCCTAATTAAGTAAGGCGCTATGCCCTGTGAGCCTGCTGGCCCTTCTGGGCCTGCATTTGCACACTCTAGGTCTGGCACGCCCACTGGGCAGCGTGCCAACAAATTTTTTATATAGTTTTTTCTTTTCTGCATTATTTATTTTTTTCTACTTATTTTTGAGTAGTTTTTTATATAGTTTTTTTCTTTTCTGCATTATTTATTTTCTTCTATTTATTTTTGAGTAATTTTTTTGTATAGTTTTTTTATTTTTTGCATTATTTCTTTTCTTTTATTTATTGTCTTCTGGAAATTGAATGTTGCATACTGAACACAAAAGAAGTCCGGAGTTCAAATAAGTTTAAAAACATTGAAGTGGCCGTGTAACATATGAGTTCTCGTCCGAAACCCTGATACTCCGAAAGAGTTTGTCTAGTTTGTACACGAAGTGCGTTCAGTTTTTGCCGCGACCCTCTCTACTCTTTCGCGCATGCTATGCGGGTCATATGATGATACCATGCCAAGTTTCAATATTTTCAGAATTCATTTTGTAGTGATTTTCAATTTCACGGTCATTTAGCTCTTTTAACAATTAGGTAAATGACCGAAAAACAACAAATGATGTCAGAACATGTTGGAAATTGATGACGTCGCTTTGAATGCTGCATACTGAACACAAAAGAAGTCCGGAGTTTAAATAAGTTTAAAAAACATTGAAGTGGCCGTGTAACAGATGAGTTCTCGTCCGAAACCCTGATACTCCGAAAGAGTTTGTCCAGTTTGTACACGAAGTGTGTCCAGTTTTTGCCGTGACCCTCTCTATTTTTTCGCGCATGCTATGCGGGTGATATGATGATACCATGCCAAGTTTTCAACATTTTCAGGATTCATTTTGTAGTGATTTTCAATTTCACGGTCATTTAGCTCTCTGAACAATTAGGTAAATGACCGAAAAACAACAAATGATGTCAGAACATGTTGGAAATTGACGATGTCGCTTTTAATGCTGCATACTGAACACAAAAGAAGTCCGGAGTTCAAATAAGTTATTAAAAATAAAAAAGAGGTGCAATGCTGGTTAATTGCTTCAAGCCATTCGGAATAGTGTAGACTGCACTGCACATAGCTCAGTGCAATCTATGCTATCCCGCAAGGCTTGAAGCTAATCAACATGCAGGTGAGCATTGAAACTCTTCGTCATTGTCTGTGCACTCACGGCTTATAAACCGCTCATATTGCCTCTCTCTTGGCGAGGTGGGACTAAAAATCAGATTACAATGAAACTCTAGTACCGGTTCATGGCATGAACCGGTACTAAAGGTCTTTGTGGGGGCCCCAGCCTGACCATAGCCTGACACAGCCTCATTAGTACCGGTTCGTGGCATGAACCGATACTAAAGTTTGCCCACGAACCGGTACTAATGATGCCCGCCCGCCTAGCCGTTGGAACCGGCACGAATGATCACATTAGTGCCGGCTCAAATTCAAACCGGCACTAATGTGCTTCACATTTGACCCTTTTTCTACTAGTGCACTATGGTCCCACGTCGAGCTTCGTGTTTTCTCCACAGCCACAGCATCACGGTCCCTCATCGAGCTTCGTGTTTTCTCCACAGCCACAGCAGCACGGTCCCTCATCGAGCTTTGTATTTGAGCAAGAGCAGCCGTCACAACCAGCAGGTAAGTGTCTTCATTTTTATTGTTTTCAATATTAATTGAGGCGACCTCATTCTTCATGACTAAAAGTTCCATCATGCAGGAGCCTACGGATATCATGCGTCTATGTCAGCATCACATGATACGTGGGGGAGTGATCAACAACCTGAGAAGACATACATGCTCAGATGTCGCAGCACACCCAGTGGATGAACATGTATTCGACTCCTCCACCAGGCCCCACACAGGATACACAACATGACCAGGGAGAGTCTGAAATTCCTCCTCGTAACATTAGGCCACCTAACAGGTTGGGATGGTCGTCGCTTCAGATCCGCCTCCCCGCCAGGCCAGACGTCGTCACTGACGCTTCCATCTATCAGTAGAGACATGACCATCTACTTATGTATGAGACTTATGTCTATTCTATGTATGAGACAAATGACTATGTACTTATGTATGAGACATATGCCTACTCTATTTTAGTACTCTGTTATCCGAACTACAACATCATATTTAGATAGAACATAATGCTCATACAACAAGACAGTATAAACAACTAGATAGAACTACATCTAAATTAACGGTACGTACGACTAAACTTACAACATACATCATAAAAATTACATGAAGTCATCATCGTCATCCTCCGTCGATGCAGAACTCTTGCCCTTCGAGGATGCAGAACTCTTACCCTTGGACGATGCAGAACTCTTGCCCTTCGAGGATGCAGTACTCTTGCCCTTGGACGATGCAAAACTCTTGTTCTTTGACGATGCAGAACTCGGAAGCGGCGGCATGAAGATATCATCTTCGTCCTCGCTCTCCTCAGTCCATAAAAATGGATGCTTTTCTGCAGTCCTTCTGAAAGTTTCACTCTCCGGCTCCACTACCTTCTTCCACCTTGCATGCAACCTAAGAAGTTCTATACATACCTCCTCATAGGTCCTTTCAGGCCACCCAGACATACGTAATTCATGAGCCAACTCATTTATTATGGTGTCACTACCAGTGAGTTCATCCCATGGAACTATCCTATTGTCCATCTGAAATCGGTAGCTAGCCTCAGAAGAGTCCTGCTCATCTCAGGGTGAAAACTACGATCGAAAGGATAATGGGACATCTCAACTACACTACACTGGAATGCTTATCCTCCTCTGTCTGAAGGGGGTTTTATAGGTAGGGATGAGAAAATGGCGGGAAAGAACGACTGCGGTATGGCGGGAAACGATTGGCGGGAAACGGGTGGCGGGAAAGAGTTGGCGCGAACATATGGCGGGAAACGGGTGGCGGCAAAGAGTTGGCGCGAACATATGGCAGGAAAATTTTGCGGGGAAAGGGTTGCGCGAAATACGTCATAGTTTATAAAAAAAATCCGGAGATCGTTCGGGACAAAAATGATGGCATGCACCTGTCGGCCCACAGCAGGCCAATTAGTCCCTGTCGGCCCACAGCAGGCCAATTAGTCCTTGTCAGCCCACAGCAGGCCAATTAGGCCCTGTCGGCCCACTACTGGCCGACTGGACCTGAACTGGTAGCCGATAGGCCAATCGGCCAGCTGCAAGCCGATAGGATCTCAGTCGGCCTGCTGTGGGCCGACTAGGTCCACTCGGCCTGCTGCGGGCCGACGGTGTATTATTTTTGAAAATTATATTTTGGGTGTAATATTTGTGCAAATTAATAAAAAAATGTATTATTTAAAAAAAATTAGCGTCAGGTGGTTCAGCCACCTGATGACTGGAGAGTGCGTGCAGTCGAACATATACAGATGTATATTTTAGAGTGTAGATTCATTCATTTTGCTTTGTGTAGTCAATGTTGGAATTTCTAAAATGTCTAAAACGGAGGGAGTAGTGCTGGTGCAGTATTTTTCGAGCGAGTCTTGTGTAGACAATGCCTGACTTTTATTGTCACGTTCCTCCGTAGATAATTTATGTATGGCTTCTATCCATGTGAATCTTGGTAACTATTCTTCGGAGTATAACTCAGTGTTGCTGCTAAGAGCACTACTAGTATTGTGCTACAGATTCTTATAACAAAGGAAAAGCCATAATCAATCGATGCAAGCTATCCTAACAATGTACTGGGCTAGTATCATGATCGAGGTCTTCTAGGAGCTATTAGTTGGCAGTGGTCTGATCCTCCGTCTTCCTGTTGATGGTGATTCCCTGATCCCTCCTCATCGGCGGCAGGCGTTCCTTCTCCTCCTCCACCTGCTCCAGCAGCACCTGCAGCTCCGCCTCCGACAGGCTCTCCAGCCGTTTCTGCAACGAAAACAGTTTTAATGGTGGTCAGTCACAAGTCACAAGTCACAACTTGTTTCTTGTTGATGGCAGAGGGGTCACTAGCTCACCTCCATGACTTGCTTCTCGTAGTTCCTGAGCTGCGTGGCGTAGGTCATGTCCTTGTTGGCCACCCGGATCATGTAGGAGGAGATCCACCCCACCGTCATCCCGAGCACGATGAACAGCTGGACCACGTTGCCGGCTTGCAGGGGGTCCACGCCGACGAACTGCGCGCGGTCAGGGAAAGGGTTTGCGATCAGGTTCAGGTAAAATACAAACATGTTCTTCATCATCGTTGGCAAATCGAGCAGCTGCCGGATTTTGCTAGAGAAATGAAGAGGAGGTCACCTCGAGGCCGGACTTGAGGCCGTAGCCGAGGAGGGTGACGCCGACGCCGATCAGCAGCACGTCTTTCCTCGAGTACCCGAACTCCACCTTGTCATCCGTGGCTTTGGAGTCATCCACGCTGCTTCTCAGCGCCGAGCGCCTCCTCTGCCCCACGGGCCTCTGCAGCAGCACCTTCGATCGCAGCACGGTTTGGCCTTTTGCAGAACATAACAAGATCAGTTTGTTAATAATCCATCTGCTCACTGGATTCGTGCAGCTCATTAGCACAAGAAAAGAGCATGGAGCAGAAGCAAGAATACCAGAATGGCCGGAGTGCAGGCAAGCCGTCTGGCCGAAGCGGAGACCGCCGGCGGGCGCGGCGGCGGCGGCCCTTCCAGCCGACTGTGGAGAGACGCGAAGGACGGGGGCGGACAAGGCTGCAGGCGCCATGGTTGCCGAGTAATTCCACCGTTGCTGCTCGGCCGCACACCCGCCCTCTGGCTCCCTTTTATCCCACCTTATCCTCGACGTGCTGACTGACTGAGGGGGCGCTGCTCAGCCGCGTCCCCGGCACCTCTTCCGTACACGTACACGTACACAAACTCGCCACATCGAGATCAAGAATGCGAGCGCGTCGACAAGGCCAAATATCACACTCGTCTGGATAAGAGTGGCCGTTCTTCTGACCCTCCCGCGCGCGAACCCGTGGCCCTCGCGCGCTCGCTCATGGCTTCTTCCTCCTCTTCCGTCTTCTCCCCGCTCCTGCGGCCTACGCTCCGGCTGCGGGTCGCCTCCTGCGCCACGCGCTCCTCTGCTCTCCACGCTGTGTCTGCGGACAACGCTGCCCCTGCCCCGCAGTCGGCGCCTCTCGCGGTTGCTAGCCACAGGAGGGAGCTGGTGGTGGGGACGGCGCTCGGTGCGCTGTTCTCGGCGACGCCGCTGCCCGCGGGAGCGCGCGAGGTCGAGGCCGGCAAGTACCTGCCGCCGGCGCCGGCCAGCCCGGGCTTCGTGTTCTTCAAGGCCACCACCAAGGACACCCCCGCCCTCCGGGCTGGTGATCACTCGGTTCTTGCTACTTTCTAGCTATCTCCATGCATTGTTCCTTGTTAGTGCTAGTACCTATCTTGCAATCTGATGCACCCTGTCGATTAGTCAACTGAGTTGAGTTTTGTCATGAAATTCAGGCAATGTGGAACCATATGAGTTCATCCTGCCGCCCACCTGGAAGCAGCTGCGAGTGGCCAACATACTCTCCGGCAATTACTGCCAGCCCAAGTGCGCGGAGCCATGGGTGGAGGTGAAATTCGAGGACGAGAGGCAGGGCAAAGTGCAGGTGGTGGCCTCGCCGCTGATCCGCCTCACCAACCGGCCGAACGCCACCATCGAGGACATCGGCAGCCCCGAGAAGCTGATCGCCTCCCTGGGGCCCTTCGTCACCGGCAACACCTTGGAACCCGAGGAGATCATCGAGGCCTCTGTCGAGAAGATCGGCGACCTAACTGTAAGTCGCCGTCGATAACTCACTGAAGGTGTTGCTGAAACCTGAATTCCTGATGCATGGGCGTAAATTATTTGTGATGCAGTACTACAGCTATGTGCTGGAGACCCCACTGGCACTGACGGGCTCTCACAATCTGGCCAAGGCCACGGCCAAGGGGAGCACGGTGGTGCTCTTCGTCGCGAGCGCCAGCGACAAGCAGTGGCAGTCGTCGGAAAAGATTCTGAAGGCTATGGTAGATTCATTCCAAATATGATTGCAGCAAGTGCAGGCTTGGCCTCCAGACCTGGACGCGCGGGTTTGCTTGCTTACTGCTTCCACGAAAGAAAATGGTACCTGTTTTTGAGGCTTGGAACAGTTGTAATGAGCTACTTGATCGACTAAGGTGACTATAAGCTTGTACACTAGCTTTTTATAGAGGTTATTCCAATGTACACACTGATCAGAATCAGTTGGTATCTTCTTCCCAACAGCAAAAATGTTTGAGTTTGAATATTCTACCATGCACGTGAGGTACCATGCAGCGTTTGGAGCATCTCTAGCCAATCTCTTAAAAGACTTTAGAGAGTAAAAATATATTTCAAGGGCCTAAACTGGATCTAGCCGATCCTTATTAGCATTAGAGGAGTAAAACATTTACACCTGGCGTCGGTGGCCCCTTAATTTATTCGACCGGCGCCACTCTCCCCCGCTCGACCGCATCCACTCCAGAGCGGCCATCCCTTTCCTCCACCAGCCACCATTCACCACTGCAGTCGCCTGGCACCACCCGCCGCTCCTCGTCCTTGCACTGTTGGATTCGACGCGCACCCCCACCGGATTCGATGCACCCATGCCCGGCGCCGTCGTATTTTGTCGGGGTTCGTCAAGCGTAGCCACCCGGAGCTCGTTGCGCCGCCTCGTGGTATGTATTCCTCCTCTTACCGCTTGCATTGTCACCCAACCACCAGCAGATCCTCGTCGGCCATTCGAGCGGGCTCAGCCCTAGCCCGACAACTCGACGTGCCTCTGCCGATCATCAAGTGTGATGACTGCTAGCGGCTGATTCTGTGCCAGGTCTCGAAGACGATAGATTATTCCGGATGGGTTTTCTTCAAGTGCGAAATGGACTGAGTGCGTTTTTGTGCGATAGTTCTTTGGTTCAACTAAAATTTGTGCTTAGACTTAACCAAGTCTCAGTCAAGTCACATAACATATAAAAGTTTAAAAGAAAATTTTAAACGGATCTTCATGTGAGATCTCACGAATAAAGCATCGACTGAGACTTGGTTAAGTACCCAATCGACTGAGGTTTAGCAATTCCATTGTTTGTTTTTCATCCAAGAGCACTGCATGTCTTTTCCATTGAGATGGGAGACAAACATCATTTACAACCGAGTACAGGGCAGGCAATCAAATGTGAGATCAAACCCTACCCCACTGCTGCACAACTAGTGTACTTGAAATGTAGGCCCACCATAGACATGCGCTAAGGCCCCTTCTAATGTTCCACCATGTATAGATGCTAAGGCTGTCAAATCGGCATAAAATCGGATGGTGCAATCTAATTAAAAAGAGAGAGTACTTTGATGACCCCATAAAAATGGTACTAAACACGTGTACCTAGATGGAAATATAATTCTAAGTCTACAACTAATTAAGTGAAGGATGCTTAGCACCCAAAAGCTAAACAACTATGCATTGAGGACATTGAGTGGCAACAGCTCGAGCTCCGCTTTGATCGTGGCAACCGCCAGGCCTGGTAGGGATGACTTATGCACAACCATTCTGTTGTTATGTTCTAGCCAGATGACACCACAAGGTAACATAGACAACCATGGTTAGCTCTTTCCTCCTAAAACGCTCCACCGCTAAGCTCGACGTGGGCCACCACTCGAGGATCCTGCTCCTTCCTAAGGGTATGACACAGTGCAACTGCAGTAGCAGAAGCAAGTGGTATCAGACCTCCCTTGTGAAGGAGCAACCAAGGGCGTCTTTAGTTGCCCTCTTAGAGCCCAACCAGCCCTGTGTGCAATGAAATTGGCATGTGTGATTGCCTACATTCACTGTTTGGGCTGCATAGCACGAAACTTAAAGTACCTCCTAGCCAGGCCCGCAAAGAATGTGCAAATCGGCAGTTTCCAGCGAGTCAAGCTTGGGCGATGCACGAGAGCACGCGTGGTGGGTCCAGGAATGCAACCTCATTCGGTCTCATACCTCGTGCACCTGAGGTTTCAAGATAAGGTCTACACGAAAAAAAAACACATCGATGTTGTAGTTTCATTCAGGCGATCGGTTCATAGTTTCATGTATGGTAAATATTTAATTTTGTGTTCATATTTAAAGCTATTCTGGACGAATTTTATCAAATTCGTCGCGCGACTTTCGTGTTGCATGTTTTCTGTTTCCATGATCGTAGACGAGTATATCTATATCTTCCTCGTGATTGTACATATGCATATGTGTGGTCTGATTTAAGAGGCTACTTAATCGTTCCTCTAGGACTTTGTCCCGCGTCCTGTCACACTGACGCCAGCAATGGTGTTGGGGATATAACTATTAGGTATAACCCGCCCAGGAGGGGCCGGGTCATACCACTGACGACTTAAAGATGAAGATGGCGGGTCATGAAGGAAGCCCATTGAAGGCCCAAGACCCAGAGGCGACTTGAGGCCCAAGAGGATGAACCGCCATATGTATAACTTGTATTGTAAGGCAAGTTTAGTTAGTCACCGAGCCAGACACGTTGTATATGAGCCGGTCGGGACTCTGTTAGCCGCCGGGCATCAACCTGTGTATATAAAGGGGTGACTCGGCGGCGGGTTAACTCAAGAAACAACAAGTCGAGAACTAGGTCAAGCGGATTCGCTCCCTGGTAATCGAAACACAAGCAAAACAACCTCAAACTAGAGTAAGCCTTTACCTCATTACGAGGGGCCGAACTAGTATAAACTCTCTGCGTCCTTTGTCCCGATTAACCCCTTTAAGCTAACCTAGTCGCGATGGCTCCACATCTAAGTTCTTTCGCTAGGACATCTGCCGTGTTAAACCCATGATAGTTGGCGCCCACCGTGGGGCCAGTGCACGGTGGTTTCGAGTTCTTAAAGGGCGACTTCGCAGGGATCAAGAGATATGCCGTGGGCCGGATGACCAAGAGTCGTCGCGACAAGCTCTACATTGACGATGCGGGCTGGGACCCCGAGGCCGGCTCAATCGAGTATGGGTACCGGGTCCCCTTCGGCGGAATCCACGTCTTCATCGGCAAGATCGGCGAATCAGGCCCTGAGCCAGACATCTGCACTGACATCGTCGAGGCGGCTCAGCGTGCACGACCCGCCAAGATGAAACCGTTGTGAAGCACGCCTTTGTGGGTTTCATCCATGGGGCGGAACTTGAGAAAGGATCTGTGTCTGCTGGTGAGACGGCCATCTACTCTGATGGTGAGTCATCAACCGGAGAGACCGATTCAATGTATCAACTATAGGACGGCCGGCTTGGGGGTTGTTCTGATGGTGACAGTATTCCGGACCCCTATGAGCAGCCGAACAGGGTTGCAATCTTCATGACTGGTACACAACCAGTGCTCGGTTCAACGACCGCCGTGGCCATGACCTCCAGCTCAGCGGCTGCAGCAACGGCTGTGGCTAGCGGCTCCGCGCGCCCGCCGGCTCAGGTTCTGACCGAACTGCTGGATGCTTTGGCAACTTTGATGGGGGCGGAGGTGACCCCGGACACTCAAGGACAGCATAAAGTGGATGTTGTGAAGCTATGAGATGAGATAGCTTAGGCCAATGAAGAGTTGGAGGCTGAAAACGCTAGGATGGCCACGGAGCAAGCTGCTTTGGACGTTCAGGCACAACAGATTCATGCAGAATCTTTCCGGCTTACCTTGGATCGAAACGCTTCAAATGCCAACATGAGAAGGAGGCACCAAAGTTGCTTACCTTCGGATTACGACGCGAGAAACCTCTTCAACACACCTGGGGCAGGGACCAGTGACCCGCCTGTGATGAATCGGGCTGGTGAAGTACCGGTGACAGGAGCCTCGGTTCAACCATGAGCTGCTGACCCGCCCCGCTTGACTCCACCTCAGCACGCTCTGACACCGCCGGGTCACTGTTCCAATCCTCTAGATAACATGATTGCTGCGGCGACACGATTGGCGGCTCTCCCGGTGGAAGGCGAGTCTCCAGCCGCGATAGAGATGCGAAGGGCCAGAGAGCTTCTTCAAACAGTAGTGGCTCAACAGGCGGCTTATACATACAATTTCAAGTAGTGAGCAACACCGTAGCCAACCCCGTAGGCATTGTTGGGGAACGTAGCATGCAATTTCAAAAAAATTCCTACGATCACGCAAGATCTATCTAGGAGATGCATAGCAACGAGAGGGGAGAGTGTGTCCACGTACCCTCGTAGACCGAAAGCGGAAGCGTTAGATTAACATTGTTGATGTAGTCGAACGTCTTCTCGATTCAACCGATCAAGTACCGAACGTACGTCACCTCCGAGTTCTGCACACGTTCAGCTCGATGACGTCCCTCGAACTCTTGATCCAGCAAAGTGTCGAGGGAGAGTTTCGTCAACACGACGTCATGGTGACAGTGATGGTGAAGTGATCCGCGCAGGGCTTCGCCTAAGCACTACGTGAATATGATCGGAGGCGTAAACTGTGGAGGGGGCGCCGCACACGGCTAACAATGTTTGCTGTGTGTTCTAGGCGCCCCTCCCCACATATATATAGGTAGGAGGGGGAGGGGGACAACCATGGGGCACCCCAAGTAGGAGGAATCCTACTTGGGGGCCTCCTCCAATTCGGCCTCCCCCTTTCCTTATCTCCGAAGGGGGGAAGGAAAGAGGGGAGAGGGGAAAGTAAGGGGGGATCCTATTCCCTCTATTTCCTTTCCTCCTTCCCCTTTCCTTTCTCCACTTAGGCCGGCCCATACGGGGGTGCACCAGCCCCTTAGGGGCTGGTCTGTCCCGTCGTAGGCCCAATAAGGCCCATATCTTTGTCGGGGGGTGCCCGAAACCCCTTCCGATGACCCGATACATACCCGGTACCCCTGGAAAACTTCTGTGTCCAAATACTATCATTCTATATATGAATCTTTACCTCTCGGCCATTTCAAGACTCCTCGTCATGTCCGTGATCTCATCCGGGACTTCGAGCAACATTCGATCACCAAATCACATAACTCATATAATACAAATCGTCATCGAACGTTAAGCGTGCGGACCCTACGGGTTGGAGAACTATGCAGACATGACTGAGACACCTCTCCGGTCAATAACCAATAGCGGAACCTGGATGCTCATATTGGTTCCCACATATTCTACGAAGATCTTTATCGGTCAAATCGTTATGACAACATAGGTTATTCCCTTTGTCATCGGTATGTTACTTGCCCGAGATTTGATCGTCGGTATCTCCATACCTAGTTCAATCTCATTACTGGCAAGTCTCTTTACTCATTCCGTAATGCATCATCCCGCAACTAAATCAATAGTCACATTGCTTGCAAGGCTTATTATGATGTGCATTACCGAGAGGACCCAGAGATACCTCTCCGATACTCGGAGTGACAAAACCTAGTCTTGATCTATGCCAACCTAACAAACACCTTCGGAGATACCTGTAGATCATCTTTATAATCATCCAATTATGTTGTGACGTTTGATAGCACACAAGGTATTCCTCTGGTATCCGGGAGTTGCATAATCTCATAGTCAAAGGAATATGCATAAGTCATGAAGAAAGCAATAGCACTAAAACTTAACGATCATTATGCTAAGCTAATGGATGGGTCTTGTCCATCACATCATTCTCCTAATGATGTGATCCAGTTCATCAAATGACAACACATGTCTATGGTTAGGAAACTTAACCATCTTTGATTAATGAGCTAGTCTAGTAGAGGCTTACTAGGGACACTGTGTTCTGCCTATATATCCACACATGTATCAAGTTTCCGGTTAATACAATTCTAGCATTAATAATAAACATTTGTCATGATATAAGGAAATATAAATAACAACTTTATTATTGCCTCTAGGGCATATTTACTTCAGGCATGACCCGGCATGCAGTGGTGTCGATGCTCAGACTTTGGTGGATCAGGCCAGGGCGCGTCGGGAGGCTGAGCTGGCGGCTCAGTTAGCAGCTCAACAACAATTTCCGGTTTATCCATCAGCGTCTGTGGAGGCAGGAGTGACCTCTAGAACCTTGGGAGTGCCATGTTTAGTGCTGGCTCTATGCAACGAGCGATTGCCTAAGGATTTCAAGGGCCCTCGTAAGAGTGCCTAACTACATAGCGGATCAGCCCCCAGAGGCTTGGATTGAGAGCTATGAGATGGCTATGGAGATGTTGGATGTCAGTTATGTTGCATGTGCAAAGTATTTCACCATGATGTTGGACGGGCCGGCTCGTAACTAGTTGAAAGGGTTGCCTGCTAACTCCATTGGTTCATGGGCTGAATTGAAGACCCGTTTCATTCAGAATTTCAAGGATACATGCAAGCAATCCATGTCGATTCTTAATTTAGACACTTGTGTTCAGGGCGAAGGAAAATCAATGACCCATTGGGTGTGGCGGCTCTCGATCTCCTCTCCCGCGTCTTGCTGAAGTGGCGTCATCGTCGCCATCGCTAATCTTGGCCTCCTCTCCTGCATCCTACTAAGCTGACGCTGCCATGACGTGCACACTCTATTTATTCTCCTCTATCCTCTGCCTCAGCGCCCTCCTATTCGTCCATCCACATGGACTTTTTCTGCGGCGACGACGCTAGCAACTAGTTCGTCGTGTCAACAACGAGATCACTCGCCCGCGACCCCGTGCTCGTCGTGTCAGATGCACTACCGCTGCCTATCTGCCTTCTCTCATGCGTACTACTACATTGGCACCACCGCCGATGTTGTTCCTCCCAGCCTCCTCTCTCGCGCATTGTTGTTGGAAATATGTCATAGAAGCAATACTAATTGTATCATTATATTTTCATATTCATAATTATAGAGTTTATATTCTCTGCTATAACTGCTATGATCCTGAAATATGCGATTCGTTGGAAAACTCGTATGCACGTGTGGAATGATAAATGGTAAAATAAAAGGTTCCTAGTCTTGCCTTTAGGACTAGCTCAAGTGTTGTTGGTGATCATGTTTTCCGGATCTTAGGATATCTGTAAGTGTAACGATAGTTTTAAAACAACATTGAGATTATGACGTTAGAAGAACGGTCATATTAAATCGATCCGAACTTGTTTGTTGTGGATTAAGTTAATATCATCTGTAATCAATTGTAATAACACGGAATGTTAACATGTGGTTTTGCTCCTTAGACCATGAGAGTATCGTAGTCACTTCTTACCACACGGTGGGATTTCGGGTTGCTCAAACGTCACCTGTAACACGGCGATCGTAACGACAACTTACATGTTCATCAGAAAATTTGACAAGGGACTAGATAGATCGATAGTGGGATTTGCTTCTATGACGAAGGAGAGATATTCTTAGGGCCCTGACGACATCCATCATCATCTGTCTAGACACATGTGACTTCATCACGGGGATGCCGGAACACAATAACGAGAAAGAAGAACAAAACCGGTAACGAGGATAACGGTATAGTGAGCATGTGATGACTTAGGAGGATACCGACGCATCTTGGGTTTTGTGGAGTATCAAAAGCAAAGGGAACATCACATGATAACCAAAGGTTCACTCGAATATCATTTATGTGCTCATAAGGATCAATATGGACGTCCACGGTTCTGCTGTCGGTCATTGAACGAATGGTTTCGTTCATATCTATGAGTTACCGAACCTACGAGGTCACAAGCTTAAGGAAATCATGATATTCTAAGTGTTAGTAGGATGAGCGTGATGAAAATATATTTTTGGAATTGTTTTATTAATATTTGGAATAATTTCGAGAGGATCTGGAAGCGTTTCGGGGGTCATCGGAAGGGTTTCACAGAGTATCAGGTAATACCGGGTATTATCGATAAATGCATATAGGTGGAAAATGTTTTTGGAGATGTTAAATTATATATAAAAGGGTCTGAAAATATCTAGAACACTTTTATAGGTGGAAAAGAAAAAAATATAGACTAGCCAAGTGGAGCGTGATTTGTAGGCCGAAAGACCAAAGACAACACCTGGAAAACATAAAAGGTCTCCAAAAGCGACGTCTTTAAGAAGGAAACAGTGCACAAGCGTCGTCATCGCCCGATCCAAGATCATAGGTTTTCACCCTGGAGAAAGATCGAGTTCTCAAAACAATACCTTCAACAAGGCAATTGCCAGGCACAACCACTGAAGGCAAAACCTTAGGTTTTTCACCCTGAAAGTCACGACTCGCTACCCGAGGAGTACCACCAAAATATGAAATCCTCTAGTGCCGTCGCCCCCACTTGACACTGTTGCTACTGAAAGTTATCAAACACCTAGCTGACTCCATCGCCTTCAAGGGCCCCCTCCGCCTTACTGATCCTCCGATCTCAGCCATCAAGAGTTTCTCCGCTGTTGTCTGTGGCATGGAAATCGAGATGCCGACATGTCCCATGGTGTAAACAAATAGCAGAGCTTCGCGTCACGCCCTCCTGGAGCCACATAGGCTGATATGGACACAAACGACCAGATACTATCCGATCCAGATATCCTTGGGCAAGATCTCCGGCAGTAGTTCCGGAACACGTCGACTGCCAGATCGAGGAGGACCAGTCAAGCAGAACGTTGCCGTGATGCGATAAGAGCACAAGGCCGTCACCACACCGCTGCCTCCACCAAGCTGACGCAATCGACGTCACGGCGGAGGACATTGGCCCACGCTGTCCATGGCCCGCGGCTCCAGGCGCCATATCTGACGGAAACGGCAGCGGCCGGCCCGCCCCGCACTCCAGCGCCGCTCTCGAGCAACGTCAGTACGGTGCGCAGACTAGGAGGCAAGCCACCGCCCCGACCTGCCGGAACCGAGCAACCGCCCAAAACATCGTCGCCGCTGGTGTCAACAAGGGAGACTCCGCCGTGCCCGAGGACGCCCCCACGACGCGAGCAAGGTCCCCGCCGCCGCCGTCGGTCGCAGCGGCTTCGCCTTGCAGCTTCCTCCGGCAGCGGAGGAGAGGAGGAGCGCTTTTTTTGGTGGCGGTGGCGGTAGGAATCACGATCAGTCCGTGATTTAGTTTTCATGTAAACCAGACTACAAATTTTAACAAAAACAATATTTAAAAGTTTGTGAACCAGTGGGGTACTTATGAAAATACTCTTTATTTGTAGTTTTGGATTTTCTATATAGTGAATTTTAATCTGTATCTACCTTACACAAGTTAATTATATGCAGCATAGTCACCTAAATAACTGTTCTTACATCTCCAAATTCCGATTTAGCTTAGCCAAACAGCCGGAATAGAAAAAGATGTCATGATGTCAGCAATGATGTTATCATTTGCAACACTATATACAATTCCACTCATACAGATACGGGCATGATTCTTCTGTTGGCTTTGTCCATGAGAATCATACAGCTGCATTATTATTTTAGGATTTGCAAATTCTCATCTGGATAGATAGGTTTAGAAGAGAAATGTTAAAAAATGAAAAAATCTTGTAGAACTGGCCTGTTTTTTTTTTCAAAAAGGGGGCACTATGGCCTCTGCATCAGAACGATGCAGAACTGGTCTGGTACTGAATTATTGTATGCCGCCGCCGGCATACCTAGAAATCCGAAAAAAGATGACAACGTCTCAATCATCACCGCGTTACATAAGAGTACTCCACCGATCTCTCACCGCAGTCCGCACAGAATCAAACAATGGCCACGTCCGCAACGGCGGCTCGGCACATGGTCGCTTTGCCGTACCCGGGCCGCGGCCACATCAACCCCATGCTCGCCGTGTGCCGCCTGCTCGTCGCCGCGGACGGCGCCCTCACCGTCACCGTCGTCGTCACAGAGGAGTGGCACGGGCTGCTGGCCTCCGCCGGAGTGACCCCCACGCTGCCGGACCGCGTCCGCCTCGCCACCATCCCCAACGTCATCCCCTCCGAGCACGGCCGCGGGGCCGACCACGGCGGCTTCATCGAGACCGTAAACTGCAAGATGGGGGAGCCCGTCGAGCGGCTGCTCGACCGGCTGGCGTTGGAGCTGGGGCGGATGCCAGATGCTATCGTGGCCGACACGTACCTGCAGTGGGCGGTGGCGGCCGGCGCGCGGCTCGGCGTGCCGGTGTGCTCGCTTTGGACCCAGCCGGCCACGTTCTTGTTGGCGCTCTGCCATTTGGACCTGTGGCGACCAGCGGTTGAAGGTTTCAGCGAAGAAGGTACTAGCTAATTCGACCATGCTCCAAAATTTTGTTCAGAGAGTGTAGAAGACCGTTACTAATCAGGAAAAACTGAGCAATTTACTCCACAAGATTGTCTCTGTTTCCTCATAGAATATTTTGGATTCTTTAGCCTAGGACAAGCTTCAGTTTGATTCTTCACTAAATCGTAGACAACTGATGCGTTCTACTCGTATGCTCTGCAGAACTAAGCCGCAAGTCGTTGGAGCAATATGTACCGGGCCTCTCATCAGTGAGGTTGTCTGATGTCAAGATCTTCCTCGCTTGGGAGGGGCCAATCAAAATATCAGCGGAGGTGTTCGTCAAAGTACGCAAAGCGCAGTGCGTCCTATTTACCTCCTTCCACGAGCTCGAGCCCAGTTCCATGAGCAAAATAGCAGAGTTACTTCCCTGCCCCATCTATCCAATCGGCCCTGCAATCCTGCGTGCGCCGGACAACGGGGAGAGCGCCCGTGACGAGGAGCACCGGCGCTGGCTGGACGCGCAGCCGCAGAACTCGGTGCTGTACGTCTCGTTCGGCAGCTTCGTCGCCATGCCGCCCAAGCAGTTCGAGGAGATCGCCGTGGGGCTGTGCGACAGCGCGGTCAGGTTCTTCTGGGTGGCCCAGGACAGGGCCACCGCCGGCCTGCGGGAGATGTGCGGCGACAGGGGGTTGGCGGTGCCGTGGTGCGACCAGCAGGAGGTGCTGCGCCACCCGTCCGTCGGCGGCTTCCTCAGCCACTGCGGGTGGAACTCGGTGCTCGAAGCCGTGTGCGCTGGAGTGCCCTTGATTGGCTTCCCTGTTGTGTGGGATCAGCTGGTGAATGCCCGGATGGTCGCCGACGAATGGAAGACCGGCATCAACCTGAGGCAGCAGAGGGGAAAGGATGGGATCGTGAGCAGGGCCGCGGTCTCTGATGCCGCGAGGAAGCTGATGGATTTGGACAGCGGCGCTGGCCAGGAGATGAGGAGAAGGGCTGCGCAGCTGCGCGAGGCTTCCCGTGGTGCGGTCCTCGAAGGCGGCTCGTCGCAGCGTTCTCTCAGCGGTTTCCTGGAGGATCTTGTTGAGGGGAAATTGGAGGTCGCTGAAAGTTCTGCGTGAATTCTTCGTTTAGTCCAGTCACCGCCAGAAAAATACTAGCTGCTTGTGGTTCAAAATGGTGCATCATAGCAAGGCCATATGTTATTTTTGAGCGTAGAAATTTCAATTTTAAGGCTCATAATCTCGCAAAGCATACATGTAATCTAGGCATAGACATACATGTGTGGTTGGGCACTTCTCGTGACCCAACTATTGTATCTATGAACATTACTCTTATTCAATAAAGCATGGGAGATTTCTCAAAAAAAAGCAAGGCCATATGTCCTACAGATATTTCATTTTTTTTGCTGCACTTGAGAGCATTCTGACCGATCCCTATCCGGCGTTAGAGAAAAACAAATTCGATTTTGGTCACTACTAGGCGCCGGTGCGCCGGCCCAACTTTGAGCCGGTCATACCAGCAGCGTCCGATCGAACAACTCATGGTCGTACGATTCTCTTCTTTACTTTCACCAGGCGTCTTCTTCCTTCAAAAATAACTTCCAGCGCGCTACCAAGTTTGAAAGTACCACCCCGGTGCGCTCGCCTGTAGCCGCCCTCCCCGCCGGTCGTCGTCGTCGCCGCCGGCCGCAGTCGTTGCCGCCGGCCGCCGTCATGGTGGAAGCAAAAACAAAAGCTGGATCTAGCAAAAACAGAACATGGTGGAAGCAAAATTTGAAGTTGGTTCTAGTAAAAAATTATGGTGGTAGCAAAATAATTTGTTGGATCCAAACTTCTAATGATGCATGTGCTAGCAGTTAGGGTGGATGGCTGCATCATCTCTGCGTCTCCAGCTCGCCGGGTTCGAGTGCCAAGCAGCAAAAAATCTAGAAGCAACAAAAATCTTCCAGCAAAAAACTTCACCCTGGGTCGAAATCCGGTGGTCGGTTGAAGCAAAATCAAAAAAATGCTTCTAGCAAAAACAAGCTTAGGTGCCAACAAAAACGACATGAGCATTTGAGAGCTCTGCATCCGATGAAGCAAAAAATTATCTTGGTTCCAGCAAAAAAATACACCGGTTCCAACAAAAACAAAAAATTGGTTCAGCAAAAAATGCATCAACAAAAAATGGCCATCCTCTCTTGCAGCTCCCCCAGTAACCGGTTGGAGCTCCGGCGTGCACGATTGCAGCTCCCGACATTCGAACAACGTTGGATACAACACTCCTTGCTGCTGGATGTAGCTTCCCTGGCGAGGCACCAACCTTGTAGCACATACACCAGCTGGTTGCAGCAGACAAGAGCACCCGTTCCCGCAAAAAACGAAGATGTTCATAAAAACAAAAGGGGATGATAGCAAAAAGCAAAGGGGTTGTAGCAAAAAAAAATGGTGGATCCAGCAAAAAAATACCCTGTTCCAGCAAAGCCCCTCGGTTCCAGCACAAACTCGCCGCCGTTGCCGGGGCCGGGTGCAGCTTGGCCATGGCGATCGAAGCACCCTAGTTGCGACGGCCATGGAGAGGGCGCGTGTCCAGCTGCCGGCGGAGGCGGACAAGGTGATGAGCGTCACAGCCGTGGAGAGGTAGGATCCACACGAGCACCATGGAAGGAGCTGCTCGTCGGGGGGATGGTCATGCCATGGCTGACGAGATTGGGATTGGGAGGAGAGAGACTTGAGGGGAACGAATGGTTGTAGTGTGTTCTGGAGAGATAAGATGAAGAGATAGGCGATGGGTGGTCCCAAATTCTCACGTAGTCACGTGGAGAGAAAAACTAAAGCGAGCTACGCGGCGTGACGGGCCGAAGCTTCGGCGGGCACACCGTTTTCAAACATTTTCCTTCGATTTTTCTTCTCTAACCGGTACTTAACCAAAGGGAACTGTTTACATGCGGCGCGCCGGCCGAAACGCTTGGCCGGTCGCTCGCGAATCGTTGGATCGGGGTGACATCCACTCCCATGTAACAACGCGCACTCATGATTCGTGAAACGTGTCTCCGTCGAAGCCGCATGCGTGGGAACGCATGGCTGTGGGGGCCCACCCACCGCTCGCCAGCGCACCTTCCTTATCACCTCTTATTCTTTTCTCGTCCATCCACAAATCTACAAGACAAAGCCGCCATTTTTGCCCCCAAAGCTCATACCGTCAAGAACAACCCACCTCACACGCTAGCCATGGTCGTACATCGCCGTTCTTAGACTCCATGTAGCGCTCGCCCACCCTGTCTGTCAAGGACGGCGCCCCCTCCCCCCGAGCTCTCCCTTTTCCGATCTGGCGTGATGCTAGAACTGCGGGTGACTAGAAATGTTGGGACCGTATTCAACGTTTGCCGAAACCGGCTCGGTAATTTTCTACCACCCACGGTCACCATTTTTTTGCTACAACCCGCATCGGTGTTTGGCTACGACCTGGGCAGCACTTTGCTGGAACTGGCGTCGGCATTTGCTGCAACCAGCCAGGCGGCATGCTGGAAGTATCCACCGTTGTTGAAACTGGACGCATTCCTGGCCGCCAATGTTTTTTTGCTGGAACCAGCATTATGTTTTGCTGGAACCTGCTAGTTCTTTTGCTACAATCTTTTTCTTTGAATTTTCCGACGTGACATTCTTGTAGCAACCTTTGTTAATTTTAGCTAGAACTAGCTAATTTTTTGCTACAACTGACCATTAGAGGTTTTTGCTACTGAGATTTTTTTGCTGGATCAGTGGCTTTTTTTCTACAACAGGTGTTTTTTAGCTGGAACCGACTAAATATTTTGCTCCAATTGACCATTTTTGGTTTTTGCTACAGAATTCTATTTTTTGCTGGATCAGTGGCTTTTTTTGTTACAACCAGTGTTTTTTTAGCTGGAACTGACTAAATGTTTTGCTTCAGTTGACCATTTTTTGGTTTTTGCTACCGAGTTTTTTGCTGGATCATGGCAGTGCTAGTCGATGGTGGCGTGAGCTGGAGCCGCCGACACCAGAGTTTTTGCTACAACCATGACGACTGTGGGATGGAACCGATCAACAGTAGAAGCTAGCACACAATCGGCGGCGGCGCTGCAGTCCCGGTGGCCATGAGACGAGGGACGGCAAGCTGACAACAGCGCCGGTCCCGCCGGGGCTGCCGACGCTGATGAACGCATTTCCCGCATCTAGCGAAGGAGCAACCCGACAGAGGAGGCGTGGTCTGGTGGCGACTACGCACTTTCCAGGGATGGGACCCGACAGAGGAGGCGTGGTCTGGTGGTGACTATGCACTTTCTAGTGGTGGGAGATTAGAGGACCGGATCTGACGGTTAGGGAGAAAACTATCGAATGGACAGGGTACGACCGGCTGAACTACTGAGCCAGCGCATCGACGCAGATCACTCGCCTTAACCAAACCCCTAAAATTATTAGTGGAGGAAAAAAATTCTCCATGGTGGTCGTGAATCTTAAATAAGTTTGGAGACATAGTAGAAATAAAAACCGCCCTACGATAATTCAAAAACAATATGAAGGTGCTTATAGGGCTTGGACCAACGATCGTTGCTAACTGCGGAGTGCAGCGGAAGTATACGAGTAGGTGTAGATCGTACTTAGAGTCCCGAGAACCTTTGATGGACGGCAGAACTGATCCAAGCACATACCTCCTCGCCCCTCTTGTGTCGCTCCCGCGGCGGTCGAGGGGGGAAACCCTAGCACCGCCGGGCCCGTGCCCCTCATCCCTCCTCTCCTCCTCACCGCCGTCGGGGTGCGCCGCCGGGCAAAGCCTGGTCATTGACGGCGGTAACGGGACCCTCTCTCCCCTCTGCCGGTGAGCTCGTTGCGGGCGGTCTCCTCGGCAGGTGGTGGCGCGCTGGCGGCGGGGGCGCGGCGACGTGATCTCGGGTGGCAACGAAAGGCTCCTATGCGTGGCCCATGGCCGTTGCGGCCCTGGGGATCACGGGGATGGATGCACGCGGCCGTGCCTGTGGTGCCTGCCGCCCTCGATCTGGCGCGGCCAGATCTGGTTGCCGGCGTCGCGGGTGGCGCATGGCTGCCCTCGGCGGCGGCGGCTGGCTTGGGCTGGTGGTGCTCCGGCTGTTCTTTGCGGTGGGGGCAGGTTCTGGTGGTGGCGCTGGCTATCGGTGTGGTCACAGCACGGCGATTGGCCTCGACGGCGGGGTGCGGGGGGTAGAGGTGGCTCTGGTTGGTGGTGGTGGCAGGGACGGCTGGTCTCTTGCTGGATCCGACCGGATCTGTCGTTGGGGGTCGGCCGGCGGCCCGTGGCACCGATGGTGCGTGCTAGGCAGCTCCGGTGCTTGGTCGGGCGTGGTCGCTGCTCCGGCCGTGGGCGACGGCGTGGGGAGGTCCCGCGGTGGTGGCCTCCCGGTGGCGTGGCGTCTTCACGGTGGCTCGACGGTTCTGCCCGTGGAAGCGGCCGGCTTCTCTAGCGTCGGCTCATCTGTGTTTGGACCGTCTCGACCTTCGCGCCATCTCCTCGTTGCCCGAGCGCGACTCCCTTCAAAGGGCTGGTCCTCTCCCAGCCGCGGTCCACCGCTCGTCTCGCGCCCGGTGCTATAGGACCGAGTTCGTCTCGCGCACGGTGTAGCAGGATTGACCTCGTCCCCCTCTCTATGCTGCAGGAATGAGATCGTCTTGTGCTCGGGGGCGCAGGACGGGTCGGTGGATGCCAATTTTGGCCGGCCTATTGGGTCTCGACGCCGGGGGTTGCCCAG